CTTTTGGAGATGATTATGCAGATAGATGTAATATTATTTTATTATTTTTAAGTATTTGGATGAATGCATGAGCTAATCTTGAATGACCTAATATGACCGGGCACAGTGTTAGGCACTCAAAGAATCCTCAAATAATTCTCTGCACGCCCCATTCTCAGGGACCTTCTGAGCAGGAATTGGGGGGGGGGGGGGGACGGAGGGTAGGCAGGAATGACATATGCAGGGCTGGGCCAAAGAAGGTTTACAGTTGTTTGTATGGACAATAATACAGCAATTAACAAATAATTAACAACGCAAGAATAAGCCCTGTTTCACATATTCACAACTGTACACGTACTTTTGCCCCACCCTGTATAATAATAAATAATTCAAGGAAGAATGTAATACATGCATGAGAAATTCCATGGGAGTTCGGAAGAGAGGAAATTCCGGGTGAATAAGAAAGGCATTATAGATGTGGTGGCATTTTGGCCAGAACTTCAAAAATGGCATGCTCGCCCCTGACGAGCCAACAAATGGGGGTCAGAGGCAGAGAGAATGTCACCAGGAAAGCACCGAGTGCTGGGAGTCTCACGTTTTCATTTGGTTGAAAGACAAACTACACATGGAGCAGATACATTAGACAGGATACTTTCATGGAAAGAAAGGAGGCCCCAGACTCCTGGGGAAGTATGATCTGGAACAGGTCAAAGAAGATGGATCCCGAAGCAGAAAAAAAAAAAACACCAAGGAAATAAAAGGCAGCAGGATCTAGGAAGGAGTGGGGGGAGAGGGGACTGGGAAGGGAAGGGAAGAACCTGAGGAAAGGTGATAGAAGGAGAAGGAAAAAGGACAAATGACAAAGCCAGAATGCTCAGGAACGGGGAAGCCCTCAAAGAAGACGGTAAGGCTTGAACCTGGGCCACTGCGGGGACGCTGTCCACAGGCCGGGTTTGTTGAGAGGCACACCGTGTTTCGGGGGCGGGTGGGGAACAAGCCGGCAATGCCCAGGAGGCCACTAGGAAAGTGGGTCTGGAGATGCCCTCAGCGGTGGCACTAGAGAAGTAGACTTGACCTTTCTTCACCTGTGAGTGCTGTTAGGGCGCGGCAGGAATGAGCGAATGGGCATGACAGCACAGAGAAGGAAGCCAGGAGAGAGCTGGGAGCCGGACTGAGAGGCTGATACCAGAAGCACCAGAAGAAAACTGGTCAGGTGCAGTGGTTCCCCTGACCCCCACTGCCACCAAACCTGGGGAGCAAACCTTACCAAGAAGAGGAGAGAGACCAATGGAGAGAAAATGTTGAGAAAACTGCCTTTGTTGGATTAATTTTGTTAGTCTCAAAATTCTCCAAAGAGAAAACAGGCCTTTTGTCTTTCCTATGTGCAGGAGAATGTTTGGTGATTCTCCTTCTCTCCTTTCTTTCTTCCTTCTTTTCCTCTCTTTCCTTCCTCCTTTCCTCTGCTCTCTTCCCTTCCCTTCCCTCTCCTCCCTTCCTTGCACCTTCTTGTTTCTTTGGTTTGACCTGAACATGGTCAATCACCTACAACGATAGCTGCCTTTCTGTTCAGTATCTGTCTGCAGTGCGGCCTGAGGAGGGAGGTCTTCCGTGCTCCAACATTGCAACGCTTTAGGTCTTTCATAGCAGGAAATTGTATGTCTGTTTGCAATATGACATCATGAACATTTTTGTAACTTTTACAAATATAACTTTTTGCTTGTTTCTTTGTACTGGTCTCAAGAGCCGCTCATAAATCTCTCTGGAACTGCGTAGGGTCCCAGGGCCAGAGCCTGGCCCCTCCTGGCACTGTGATTAGTCACTTAATACCCAAGACAATGACTAATGCCTGGCAACCAGCTCGCCATGAGGAGTCATGTGTCCTGGGAGCCCGGGCAAAGGCACACTGGGAGCACCTTACAGTTGGGTCTTCATACCATGGTGGAGAGGACCGGCTAGCTCCATGCGGGTACCATCAGGCAAGAGGAGACCCTCCTCCCCAGGCTCAATGCCAGCACAGTCACAGAGCTCACCATCAGTTTGAAACAAAGGTGCCCACCTTCGTCTTATCTTCAGACCCCAGCTTTTCACGTGTCCTTTTCATATGTTTACAGAAAGCCATCGACTGAGCTACCCGTGGCAAGGTTTGCGGGCTTGCTCAGCGAGGTGGAGGAGTGTTGCATTTCAGCTGGAAACACATCCCTAGATTGCCAGAACGTTTATTCCAAAGTCTGGTTTCCTGGCGCAATGGGAGGCATGGCAATCGTGTGTCTGCTCAGAGACTCGGGGCCAGCAAGGCACTTGATCCAAGTGTACCCCAGAGGCCTTTATCGTGAAATGACATTCTTTGGGAAAAACCGCCCGTGTCACATTGGGTGAACTTGATATCCATACACTTTCGACGGGCATTTCTATTTTAGCCATAAGCCTATGATTTACAGCAAGCCTGTTTTTCTCTCTTGCTTAGGATGGCAGCGGGAACCTGGGTCACTTTTCAGGCTCCAAGGATAAGGAGCAAAGGCGGCTGGAGGGTTGCTTCTCCCCCTCCACCCCCCAGAGTGCTGAGTTCCGCGGCTGTGCCACCCTCTGCTCTCCCTGAGCAGACAGCAGGCTTCTCCCTGCCATTCATGCAGCCAGCTCTATGCAGCAGCCCCACTCCTGTGTCTGCCGGGAGGGGCTGCCAAGTGCCCTGCCTACTGGCTGCTTCCCGAATCCCTGCCATTCCATACACAAACACATCCACACGCGCTCTGCCTCACTCACACAGGAGCTTCACGCACACGCGGGCGCGTTCCTCCCTCATCCTCCTCGCTGTCTCAGCTCTCCACTCCTGCCGGCCCATGGAACCTTTCTGGGGAGACGCTCTTGACCCAGCAGGGTAGGATTGTTCTGCTTTCTCTCTTCGCAGCTGGAGCATTTTGAGAAAGCAACTTACCTTTCCGGCCAGTGTCTGTATCCTAGCAGGAGTCCAGGGTTTGCTGTTTGCTGTGGTTTGTGTGTGTGTGTGTCTCCTTTTGCTCTCAGGACTTGTAGGATTCTTTGTGTGATTTCTATATACATTTGGCAGGTTCAGGTTTGTAAAGAGCCCTCCGGAGCGCTCTTGCATGGGTTTAAAAAAGACGCTAGAAAATGGAAAGTGTGATTTACTGAAACGAAATCATCTGCAAAGAAAAAAAAAAAAATTGCTTTGGAAAGTAATGGTTGCTGGCCATAGAGAGAAATATCTGTGATTCACCTAATGTGGTTTTAACCCTTTCTTTGCTTACGATCTATAGTTACTGATGCCACGTTCGCTTTTGGCTTCACATGAAATCAGCTGTATCTGCATGTTGTCTTCCCATGATCTGTGTGTCCTCATGAGAATTATGCAAAATGTGCTCTTATTAGTATACAGATATCCAAAATGATTACTATTAGTAACAGCAACCTTGGCAAGTATGATATGTGTCATGAATATATTGTTAGGTAGTATGTTGAGTGTTTGGGATGGCAATTAAAGCAAAGTATTAATAGTTGTATCAGTCTATTAGGCTAGGGCAAAGGGAGTTTTATAAAAGCATAAACTATCCAAGATTATGGGTGCACAATAGCATATGTGTATATGTATATATGTATATGTATATATGTATATATAGTGGGTGTGCTTAGCTTTTAATTCAGTTCAAAACTTTTCACTCTTTTCTTCTTCTTCTGGGCATTTGATTCTGCGTGTCTCAGCCCATGTGAGCTGAGGATTAAAGAACAGAAATGTATCCTCGCATTTTAAAATTTGTCAGTTAGACCAACAGTGTGCCATAAATGCCAAAGATGTAGCTACTGACCCGAGGTTACCTTTCGAATAAAAAGGTCACATTTCAACTTCAGTTTTCTGAAGTTTTACTCGCAAAACCCGTGGAAGGCAGCCACGCTTACCCGCGCCTCTCCAGGGGTTTTTGTAAATCTCGCTACACACGAGAATTGCTAAGGGGAGCAAATGCGACATCCTGGTCCTGCCCAAGCTTACAAGTCCAGCTGGGAGAATCACAGAAAGTTGTGGCTGGAAGGGGCCCCTTGGGGAGGATTTTTCACGAGGAAACGGAGGTTCCTCAGCCTTCTCTTGATGGCAAGATACAATCCTTTCCATAGGAACCCCTTGACTCTCCACCCCCCACCCCAACACCCACCCCTTTGCCCCAGATGCCTCCTATCTGTCCCTACAGCAGCTGCTAAATATATCTGTCTGTGGCTGGCTGCATAGGCATCCCCCTCCCCCCCATCCTCACTCCTATCTCCGTTACAGAGTGGTCCTCCCCAGGGTCATTCTATGTACACACCACACACTGCCAGCCAACAAGGAGAGCGGATCCAGCCAGTGAGAGAGACAAACAGAGATAGATTGGAGTCTGGCACCGGGCACATAAGGCGGCCCAGGAGAGAAAGCCGGTCCCTGGCTTAGCCTTCTTTCCCAGCTCATTTCAAACCCCGTCTTCCCTGGGCCACCTTTAGGCGATCCCTCTGCGCCTCCGCCCCCCACCCCTACCCCAGCCCCTGTCTCCTCCCTGCGAGGTGCAATCCAGCCCCCCATAACAAGTCAAGTTCAGGGAAGCTGCTCTTTGGGGTCGCTCGCTCCCAAAACCAGTTGCGCCCGCCCGGAGGAGTGATGTGTAAGCCAATGTCAGTGCAAGGTAACAACAGCCCCTGGCGGGCGGCCAGCCCCTTTGTAATGCCTGTGAGCCCGGGAGACCGGAGACAGTCCTTAAAAGTTGAAGCCAGGGAGCCAGGAAGTTGGCTGCACTGGCTGGTGCGAGGCTCAGGGTGGGGTAAGGAAATCGGGGGACCCAGGACTCCGGGGGGACAGAGCCGGGCTGCGCGCTGCTCTCCCTGCGGGGATGGGGGGTGGGGGGATCCCGGGACCCGGGGGTGGGATGGGGGGATCCAGGGACCCGGGGGTGGGATGGGGGGCTCCGGAACCCGGGGCTCCGGGGACAGAGCTTGGCTGGGACGTGCGCCGCCTCCCCTCTAACCGGGCTGCGCTCTCCCTGCAGGTGGCCCGCCGGCCGCTGAGCCCTCCGCGCGGCGGGGAGCCGCCCTGCACCTTGCCCGCGGCGGCCGCTGACCATGACCATGACCCTCCACACCAAGGCGTCCGGCATGGCCCTGCTGCACCAGATCCAAGGGAACGAACTGGAGCCCCTGGGCCGCCCGCAGCTCAAGATCCCGCTGGAGCGGCCGCTGGGCGAGGTGTTCGCGGACGGCGGCGGCGGCGGGAAGCCCGTCTACAGCTACCCGGAGGGCGCCCCCTACGACTTCGCCCCCGCCGCCGCCGCGCCCGTCTACGGCCAGTCCGGCCTCGCTGCCTACGGCCCCGGGTCCGAGGCGGCGGCGGCAGCGGCGGCGGCAGCTGCGTTCGGGGCCAACGGCCTGGGGGGCTACCCGCCGCTCGGCAGCGTGTCTCCGAGCCCGCTGGTGCTGCTGCACCCGCCGCCGCAGCTGTCGCCCTTCCTGCACCCGGGCCAGCAGGTGCCCTGCTACCTGGAGGACCAGCCGAGCTACGCGGTGCGGGAGGCCGGCCCGCCCGCCTTCTACAGGTACCCGAGCCCGGCCCGCGTGGGGTGGCCGGGAGGGAGGGGGAGCCCGGGGCCCGGGACCCGGGGTGTGTGTGTGGGGAGCCGAGCACCAGCCTGCACCGTGCACCGTGCACCGAGGATCCAGCCTTTGCGCCCCGAGGGCCAGCGCGCCCGCCGGGCTGCTCCGCGGACCTGGCTTCGGGGAGGCAAGTTCCCCAGCTGGGCAGCTTTTTTTTTAAATATTTTTTTTCCTTTTTTTTCCTTCTCCACCCCGCTGCTACTGTCTGCCCGAGAGTCAGATCCGAAACCCCGTGTGCTTCCTAACCAAACAAATAGTGGAAACCCTGACAAGGCGGCAGTCATTTGCGGGGAGAAACACGCCGAGGCCAGGGAACACACACAGGGCGCTTTGAGCCCGGTCCTGGCCGTCCCGCGCTGGGGTTCCAGGGTTCCAGGCCGCAGGCGGCGGGGCTGGGGGAGTCCTGTGATCTGTGTTTGGTGATGTCAGCCTCTGAAGGTGCTCGCAAAGTTAGTTCCCTTCACCTGGGATCTAGGACTGAAAAGATGATGAGGATGTTGATGAGGATGGTGGTGGTGGTGGTTTTGGGGGCAGCGGTTCCTAGCAGCTCCTGTCCTCCTCCGGGCCCTGAGCTCGGGGTTTGACCGCCCTCAGAGGGCAGAGAGGAGCTGAACGGGTCTTAGGTTCCCGGGTTCCCAGTTCCCTAGCTGGGTCCTGCGGAGCAGGTTGCTGGAATAAGACCCAGGACAGCCAGGGCTGTGCAGGCATCCTGGGAGTTTGAAACTTGCCATCTGGAAGCAGGAGTGTTTTTGAAAGTGTATTTCAGGCCCATAGGGCGAAGAAGGCCCGGGAGCCGAGCGGGGTTCGCTGCTGCCCCTGTCTGTCTGTCTGTCTGACGACCTGTCCCTCCGTCTCTGTGGGAGAAGCCTCGCCGGCCAGGGCTCACAGGCACGCTGTGGCTCAAGTAGCAAATGCTTAGTGTGCTTGTTTTTCCCTCTGGTAGCGGATATACACGTTCCTCCTGCCCCTTCCTCCCGTTTTCGCTTTGATAGTTTCTCCCTTCCCTCCCGGATGGACCTGGACAGGGTTGGGTGGGTGTTTGTGATGAATGGCTGCCCTGGGCCACGCGGACAGGGATGCCCTGGTCCTGGGTTGGGAAGCCTCAGGGCCCACGTGGTGGCCGGTGCTGAGCTAGGCAGGGCCTGTCGGGCTGTCAGGTGCACCTCCTCCCTCACCCCAAGCCTTCTGCATGCAAGCTGCGGCCCTTTCTACCAAGGCTCTGTCTCCAGAGAAATCTATAGCGGAGGATCCAGGAGGAGGGTGCATTCTGGTCCGGAGGATGCCATGGGCAGGTTTTTGGGGTGTCAGGCCTTACCCCCTATCCTTTTGCCCCCTTCTTGATGTTCAAGCACCTCGCAGCCAGACAGGTCCGGCCCGAGTTATCACTTCAGAGACAAGCAGGCAATACTTTCAAAACTTGAAAAAGAACCAGACTTGCCAGAGATATAAAACTCATGTCCCTTTGTTTTATTTTAGGGTTAAAATGAAAAGGGAAAAGAGAAGTGATTCTGCCCACTTTATAAAAAAAAGTGTTAGAACAAAATACAGCGATTACATCTAATTCACACGCATTTTTAAAACCCCTGGATGCGAAGGAAGGCTCTGCGTGAGGGTGTGGATTCCATCACCTTCAGAGGGACTCCAGAAAGTATTTTCTTTCCCATTAATTTTCAGTTCTTTTATTGCAAATTAATGCCTCCGAATTTCAATGGGCGCTAATGAGAGCGCTCCTCCGTGGGTTATTTACTGCCTTGCTGATAATTGCGAAGCCAGAGTGGTCAAATGAGAGGGGGATCCCATTTATTCAAAATTGTCCCTCATCCCAGAGGCAAATCATATCCCTAGAATGGGCCCCATCTTAAACTTTTTACAACAGGCGACATTCAGATACTTTTAGAGTATTCTAAAAAAAAAAAAAAAAAAAAAAAAAAAAAAAAAAAAGACAACTTTTTTTTTTTTTAAAGTAAAAATTTCACGCAAGTAGGATTCTTTGCAGAAATTTAGTTTTAGAGTGGTCTTTCCTTCGTGGTGTATTTCCCATAACCTCCTTCCTCTTTTGTTTGAATCCTGCCTCTCATTACCCAGCGAGGAAGAGAGAGGTCTATGCGAGTGTTTATTTAATATTATTTAAAATATTAGTTAATATTTCCCCCCTTTGAATGGCACAGGGTACAATAGAAAGAATGAATGAAAACTGTATAGGGAACTTGAACTTTCTTCAGGAGTGATTAAAAGTTTTGGAGGGTCAAAAGCAGTGTTTTCAAAGTACTTGTTATGACCTAGAGAGTCATGACATCTGTTTAGTGAGTCTAGAGCATTTTTTTAGGAGAGTAAAATGGAAAAGGACATAATAGAAAATATCACAGTGCGTAATATTGGGTAGGGTGGGTTTTGTTTCCTGAAAAATATTGTTTTAATTATACCTGCTGTGTGTGCCCACTGTGATGTAAAATGTATTTCTTATTGAGGGTTGAGGCCAAAGACATTGGAAAGCTATTTCCCTAAAATGTTATGTTCAGTTAGAAAACAAAAAATTCAGGTTAAGAGCTTGGTGGTTTCATTTGCAGATACCAAAAAGCTGTTTTGATTTTCTTTATTTTATCTCTCCCCCACCCCCATTCATTCGTTGGTGACTTTAGATCAGTTAGATGAAGCTTTACTATTTTTGAGAATTTATATGAAGTGCACATTCTTCAGCATAAGGATGCTATGGTTACTTCTGTCTATTGGCCACACTATGCAGCCATATCTATGTCTGAAGCAATGTGACAGCTAAAACTGCCCTGGGCATATACTAATGTGAGAAACATTGTCACATATCCCAGCCAATTGTTATTAAGAGGAATCCAGGTATAAATAGGCAAGCTGTGACTTCATTCTCAGGAGGTGCCTGCCCTGCCATTGCATGATGAAGGCAACTGGGACTCATCTCATCCTGGGTTTCTTTTTCAGAGTCCAAACCACTTAGGAAAGTTGGACCAAACTAAAGATGAAACTTAATCATATCCACTAGGATGGTTAAAATTCTAATGAGGTATTTAATGTCCCATGTTTATTTCAGTTGTATTACTCAATATTCCTAAAGGCTAAATATTGCCCACTGCTCCAAATTACTTGACAATTACACAAACCCTGTGCATCAGAGTCAGTGCCCTGGTAATTTGTACACTATTACACCGCTGCCTGCTTTGGCTGAGTCTCCTGTCCACGGGTGACCACTTAAAACTATTTCTTAACTTTGAACAAGGCTCATCTCCAGGAAGAGATTTTAATGGCTAATTTTCAAGTTTCCAATAATTATGTCTTTCTATTTCGGTGATATTTTAGCACCCTTTCTTTTCTTACTTTAAAAGAAAAAGAGATTTTTTCTTTTTTCATTTACTAAAATTGTTACTGCTCACTCGGCATGTTGTGTTGGCCTAAGAATAGTTCAAGGAGCCGCATTTTGCTTCGAGAATGAGTGTATTTTCGGTTGAGAATGGAATCATGTCTTCAATCCCCATTTCATTTTCACCTACTCCATGTGGCTTGTACCTGTCCGCTAGAAACCTCCTGAAGGATAATTGGCACTTATTCTAATTTTTTTTCTCACAGTCAGTTAATTTGGGTGCTCAGATTATTTTTGTGAATATATTTAGGCTATGACGTTCATATCCAGAGAATATTCAGGTTTGGCATTTTGGTTTCTTATTGTTTTAAGGGTATAAAAGACAGGGGCAAGAAATGGCAGGAATAATAGCTATCGGGAAAAATGACAGAGATTTCAAGCTTTCTGTTAATGATAAGACATTGGTAATTTTGTCAAGTGAGATAGTATGTGTGAAAGCAATACATTAGCTGTCCATGCATTCAATATTTTGTTCACACATTGATAATTGTTTTTGTACTTTTGTAAGCTAGAAGATAGTCGGGAAGATTAGACTGAATGTGGTGAGGAGTTTTACTATAAATAGAGATTGATGATTATATGAAATAATTCTCTTTGGCAACCAAATTTAAGTAAAATCTTCATCACCAATCTGCAGCTGTTGCTTGCAACCAGGGCTATCATAAAGACTATTTATCTTGCCCTGGCTGGGTAGTTCATTTGGTTGGAGTGTTGTCCCATACACCAAAAAGGTTGCAGGTTCGATTCCCAGTCAGGACACATACCTAGGTTGGGATTTGATCCCCAGATAGGAGGCAACCAATTGATGTTTCTCTCTCACATTGATATTTATCTATTTCCCTTCTCCTCTCTCTTAAAAAAAAAATCAATAAACATATCCTCAAGAGAGGATTAAAAATAAGTAAATAAAGGTAGTACACCTTTAAAAAAAACACCCAAAAAACAACAACAACATCATCTAGAGTCACCAAGGTTGCTTGTGGGTTTGATCCCCTGTCAGGGCACACACAGAATCAATTAATGAATCAATTAATGAATGCATAGATAAGCGGAACAATAAATCCATATTTTTCTTTCTCCCCTTTACTTTCTCTCTAAAATCAATCAATAAAAATAAAAAGAACATTTTTCTTTTAAAAAATATATTTTATTGATTTTTTACACAGAGGAAGGGAGAGGGGATAGAGAGTTAGAAACGTCGATGAGAAAGAAACATCGATCAGCTGCCTCTTGCACACTTACCACTGGGGATGTGCCTGCAATTCAGGTACATGCCCTTGACCAGAATCGAACCTGGGACCTTTCAGTCCAAAGGCCTACGCTCTATCCACTGAGCCAAACCGGTTAGGGCAAAAAACCCCACCATTTTTCTTATAGATACAGTTTTAAAAAGTCCAGACCCTGATTATGTGAAAAGAGTCGTACACAAGGAGTTTTAAGAGCTTTAATCGTATTTTTTTTTTCTAAAATGCATACTCAGTACAAAAATAATACATGGAATGCCTGCCTGCGACTTCAGTATTATTTTTAACGTAACTTTAGAGGAACATGGTT